ATATCTGCACGTAGATCATGATGTTCTGTTAGAATCGCTGAAAACTGTTTTCCAAAATTCGCAGCGGGTAGTGTACAGCATCGATTTCTGTGGAACCCAGTAGCTGTCAAAACTTTCACATTTTTACGAATAACTCGGAAATCGTAAATTTTTCAGGTAAAACGGTTGAAACAAACATAAATTAAAATTGAACGGCCAATCTGAAAATAACAAAAAAAGGGGGGGTTTCATTTAAAAAAACCAGAGTTGGTAACTACCACACGTTTATGATGCACCCTGTATATTGGAAAGTAATTTTAGAATGTGGACCTTTTAAACGTGAAAAACTTTCTTTGGACGAATTTTCTTGTAAACTTCATATTTACTGAGATATCGCACTTTGACGCACTAATGAGCAACTCTGTATAAAACTAACGATTAAAGCATACTTAAATATAATGTATTTACCAATGAATAGAAGCAGGATCTGTTCCCCTTCTCAATTCCACCAACTGGTTTCTTGTGCTGGTATCCCACACTCGAATTAAAGTGCCTTGTTCAGAAGCAGTTGCTATTCGCTTGCCTTGTTGGTTTATTGCAATGCAAGCCAATTCGTTTTTATGTGCTTGCAGGTAAACCGGGGCGCTGGAATAACTTTGAAAAGTACTGCTTAATTCCTTAAAAAAAAATGAATATATTAGCTCATGTTTAGCGACATGAGTATCTTGACCTGCTGTTTTCATACCATAATTTGAACGCTTCCCAATTTGTGGCCTGGAAATACCAAGATTTGTCTATGTGAATTCTGCAGGGGGGTAATTTCACATAATCCTTTTGGGTTTGCTCTGGTTTCAACCGAAAATAACTCTCTAGTGGGTTGCAAAAACGAAAATAGGTGGATTCTATTTGGCAAAACAACCACAAGTCTAAAAAAAGCAAGGTGATGTAATTTATTGATTGTTCCTTATTGTTTATATTGTTTATTTCCATTAGTCCGACGATCTGAAAATAATTCAGATGCTGATAATGATCAGAAGCTTCTGAAACGGCACTTTTTCTTTAACAAAAAAAACTTTCGGTATGTAAAAACACTGAATAAAATTGTATCATTCTTTTCTCACTGTGCGTTCTTCGTCAGCTAATTCCAAGAGATGAATTTCGCATTGCTCATTTCACCGGTTAAATAATTGTTATTACACAAAATATGCACTTTTCTTTACCAATTACAAATTATATTTTAGACGTTTTCAAATGATTTGTTTAACTAGCGAAATAAGGTGTTTTTTTTTCTATTGGAATCTTGAGAACTAAAATATGAAAATTGCTGAACGTTTATCATTTTTGAGAAAGCATGCCTAATTCAAGCAAAATATTAGAAAGCTTTCTTCAAATTACTATCCTCACCTTTTGCAAATTAATGTTAAATCAAAAAGCAAATTATTCAAATGAATGTTGATTAGTATTATATATTTTAGCATTTTAATTCTCTATAATTCATGAAAATACTTACTTATCTCTTCTGAAGCGCACAGATTTAACAGCGGCTGCAAATTTAATTTCCATTATGGCTTTTTTCTGTGATTCATCATAGAATTGCAGAATATTTTCGGGAACTTTCGGACGCATCCCCCCCGGAATAATTGCCCATATATTTGTTCTGAACAACATTTCACATGATGCAACACTACCTACAGCTTCTACATCTGAAAGTTACGTTGCATTTTTTAAATATGTATCGCATACAGATCGAAGTACTTTTGTAGTTCGCTTGATTCTATACCTAGAAATATTGATTATTTTGTTAACGTTTTAAAATTTCGATATAATCAAGCTGATTTATGGAAAATATATACAGAGTGTCCCGTAAGCACATGATCAAAAGGATACTGCGATATTCTTTGCATCAAAAGAAGACCATCTGACCTAACTTTTCTTAAGAAAAATTGTCTGGCTCCCTTGCCATTGGTAGTCAAAGTTCTTCAAAAAAATTATCTTTTTTGAAATATTCGTTTCCTTTTTCGCTGTGAATTTGTTCTTATGTAAGACTCATATTTTGATGAAACAAGTTTGAGTTTATCCGTTTTGGACAATTGGTGAATTTTTGAGCGTCGTGGTACAGAAATTACCAGAACTTTTTATTTAGTGGATGAAATCAGCTCATTTTTTTTCCGGTTGATACACTAATCATTTATTCACAAATTTGTGCTCTTTGTACAATTTTGTAGCATTCATAGTTTTTGCGAAAAAAATATTTCTATTTTCTTGCCACTTAACAATGTTAGGCATTAACTGCAAATATCGTGATACGAGGCATAAATTAATTGTCCATCAATCTCACAAATTCGTTTCGAATGACCTTGTCTAATGAAGAAGTGACCGACATGGTCAAAGTATTAGGGTTTTGCAAAGACAACTTGCGTGAAAGCGTACACGTTTACGCGGCGCATATTTGCAGTTAATGTCTAACATTGTTAAGTGGCAAGAAAACGGACATGTTTTTTTGCGCAAAAGCTATGAATGTTACAAGATTTTACAAAACATCACAAAATTGTGAATAAATAATTAGTGCATCAAACAAACAAAAATGAGTTGATTCCATCCGCCAAAAAAAAAATTCTGGTAGTTTTTGTAGCGCAACACTCAAGAATTCAGCACTTGCCCAAAACGGTCGAACTCGATTGTTTTATCAAAATATGAGCCTTACGTGTGAACAAATTCAAAGCGAATTTCACCAAAATACATGGTACCATTCTCCCGATATTTCAAAAAAGATCAATTTTTTGAAGAACTTTAATCATTAATAGCAGAGAGCCAGACATTTTTTGTTAATAAAAATTAGGTGAGATCGTCTTATTTTGATCCAAATAATACCGCAGTACCCTTTTGAACATGTGCTTACAGGACACCCTGTATTAAGAATTTACGTTTGTCGATAAGTTCACTAATTACACATGAGTATGCATAGTATTTCCAAATGTATACTAGCAGAAAATAATAAATGTTATATTTTTGGTTCAATTCAAATAATTTCAGCGACGTTAGTTCACTCAGCAATTCGCCAATAAATTGAGCAAAGAATTGTAGCAATAACAATGTTTCAATGTAGAAGAACATATTACCTGGCTTTAGCATATTATTTACAAAATATATCCAAAAAATGTTATAAATGGTGCGGTAATCTGAATTGAAAGTCGTTGTAGCGTAACGAAGTAATATTATGAATGCCATGCAGGCATTTATAATATCCGTATTGAACTGTAAAAGAAAGAAAAAGAAGTAAGTCCCATAAAATCCTGTTTAGGTATCAAATCAGTAAATTTCATATTCCAAAGTGAGGAAACTTGCGATAGGAATAATAAAAATTTATTCGGTCAATTCAATCTCAAGTTTACGTTGTTAACATCTACAGAGAGGACTCAGAACAACCTCCCCTTATCCATTGTATGCAAAATGAATAGTGGGAACTTAATAGTTTCTAAATTTGATATTAAAATATTTATTTGTCTATGTTGATACTGACGCGTTGTTGCCTACAATTATATGGCCACTATGCCGACTATTCTTTAAAAATAAGACGTAGTATCGTTTCTGCTATGATCAGCATGATTTAACTATAAAAGAAGCCACAGCAGAAACGAGCATTTAGTCTGGTCAGAAGTCATTCAGTCTCAGATAGTCTAGTCAATCCTAGTCAGTCTTAAGATATACGGTCTAAGAGTAATGTCATAGTTACGGTTCGATTACAAGTAAAAACTGTATTGTCTGTATTAATTTAGAAATAAATTATTTTTAAAAACAAACTTTCAGATTAATCAATAAAATTCTACCGCAAAAATACTTTATTATAATAGCAAACAATTTAATAGATGCGTTGAAATAAGTTGAAAATAATTAGAAATTGTGGTAAGAACTCACTTAAGTGTATGACAACAGAGGCCGAACGTTGTTTCTCAACTCTCTAAAACAAGTCAACGCGTTTCTAAGAAATTCAATGACCGAGGATGGCAAGAATCGTTTAACAGCTCTTTTCAGTCTCTTTTCCAAGTGATTATAAAATTTTCAAACAGAAACAACTAAATTTATAATAAATATTTAACGGTTTGTGCAAAAATTGCACAACACGTAAGTATTGTGAAGTTTATATTTTTGAATTAAAATCGGCCTAATTTGGGACTAGGACTAATTGGGATGAGTTTATGAACTCATGTTCATTTTAATATCCAATTTCAAATATCCCACTAAAGCCGATACTTTAAATGTTTATGGAAATGAAATGTTAACTCAAAGTTTTCTCTGTTAATATTAGAAATAATTGTAATGTTTCTCTCCAAATATTTAGGGTGTTGAATCATGATTTGTTACCTCATAAAACTTGAATTAACGGTAAGCACCAATAGGCAATATCATTTTCATCTGTCAAAACATGGTGTTCCAAGCCTGAATTTGATAGATTGCAGTGTTTTTTGTGAACCTGATTTTTCACAACAAAATACGTACAAATTCATAACTATATCGAGGTTCCCAACACCCGCTAAAGGATCACTATGTTTATTATATGTATTTTGAGTTAATTAACTTGTTACCTACCGTAGTGTGATTTTTCCACCAAGGGTTCCACATTGTATATACGCACACCGTTCTCCATACTGGCGGTAAAACAGCCTAAAATGTGAGGTGACATGTTCAGAAATGCTTGAAGATGAAATACTAGACAACAGTATTATTGTTCTAGTGCAATACGCAATATCGACAATAACTATTAATACTAATATCAGCTTACCATGATCTTGATTGAATCTGATACTATAAATTTTTCGGTCACCCATATTTCACCAACATAAAAATCTGAACATAAACACTTTGTTCAACTTTTATTTAGCATTAAAAATTAGTACTTTTGTCTTTCCAAATGTTTACAATGTTTTGTTATGATTGTGGCCATGTGGAATAGGTCAAGGACAACTTGTCTTTATCTATGCTGCTGACTATTGACAGTGGTCATATGGCTCATGCTTGTTCATATGTTCCGTAGTTGCCAAATAGATGGATATCTTGATATCAACGAATTATGCGCAGGTTGAAACCGTATACGCATACGCAGTGGCGACTGACAGCTGCATTGCTGAGGTGAGAGAAAAAGAATAGTTTGAATTTAATATATGTTGAATTATTATATAGATAGTTGAATTTAATTAAAGTTCTGATTTATTTTCCTGACTGCGTGTACTTGTTATGATATTCCTATCCTTCCTGGGTTTCAGTCAAAGTGTGAAGTAAAATTTTTTGAAATATCGTTTATTTCATTACGTTTCGGCGAGACAACAACGCCATCATCAGATTTAAAATTTTACACAAACTACAAACACCAATTTACAATTAATACATGTTGTATAAAATTTATAATTTACAAAGTGTTAAAACATTCATCAGTTTTTGAGGGAAAATTTTTTTTTCCTTCTGGAAAAGCAAAACATCGGAAAATATTACCTCATGATTGGTAAAAATTAACGTCCCTTTAGGTCTTTGCCTTCTTGAAAAGCTTGAGTTTGTCTGAATTATTTTCTACATTTGCCAGTGGTACGCATGTATTGAGATAAGCAGAAATAGTTTTAATTTTTCACTAGTGTACCGGGTGTTTCATTTTAGAGGAACAAAGAAACAATACATATATATCACTACCATATATTCCAGAAATCAATAGAAAAATTTCAAAAGTACTAAAGCCACACAACATTATAATTGCGGAAAAAACAAAAAACAACTTATCAACTGAATGTTTCCCAAAACTAAAGCCAAAAACTGACAAAAGGGACATACCAAATACTGTATATAGAGTGAATTGTTTATAATGTGATAATACATATACAGGGTTGCTCATTAGTGCGTCAAAGTGCGATATCTCAGTAAATATGAACTTTACAAGAAAATACGTCCTACGAAAGTTTTTCATGTTTAAAAGGTCCACATTTTAAAATTACTTTCCAATATACGGGGTGTATCATAAACGTGTGGTAGTTACCAACT